TTCTATTTTAAAGAGCCTTGTTTTATATACTATTCGGATATCAGCGGATAATCAGATCGATCGCTATCGATCAGGAGAGTGCTCGGAGTGCTTATAGCTAATTGGTATGGATCTTAGATTGATTGGGATGAAGAGTTTATCCTTGGGATATTGAAGTAGATTGGAATTCGTGTAGTTTTATATAGTTTGGGTATATTCTAGTATAAAATCTGGATCTAGCGAGAAGATCAGTAAAGCTATGTTGTATTCGCAGAATGCAGTTGATATATGCTATCGCATCCTATTTGGATTGAAGTCGATTTGGTGTAAGCGGCCAGTCACTGCGCGTCTGATTATTGATTGAACATTGAAAGAAGTGCAGTAGGCTTTTCTCAATCCTGTATATATAGGTCTTCGTGCTATTTTCGTGATTGAATCTGATGTAATAGACTGCAAAGTCACCGTATCCGATCCGCATCACTATAAGTCTGTATAATACCCCGCGAGGGAGCTTGAGGCTTCCCGGCTCCGAGGTATTATATGCCGGTTTTGCTAAAGGGTATTGTAAAGTATTATTTCTTATTTTAATTGAATATATAGATAGTATTGATTGTATCTTGAATAATAAAAAGATTACTAAGTAGATTGAACTTTTCAACTCTTTTTCTAGAACTAATTGACTGGTTAGTTAATAAAATAAAACTAGAGATTTCGAATTGAGGGTTTTCAGAAGGCAAGGGAAGGCTTGAAGGTATTAGGATATCTAAAACAATAATAAGATAAGTGTTTGATATAATAAAGGCTTCAGAAGAAGCCTCCATCATAGCTATATCCCAAAGTGTTGATAGATTATTGAAATAATCCATATTGGGAGTTATATTCTTATTTTGAAGGTTTGAAATAAAAATTTTATGCGAATTTTCATATGAGTTTTGTGTTTAGAGTACCGATAACAATATCACAACAACTATTGGTTAGAATCACTTGGGGGTAATTGCAATCAATTTGGTTTAATAATTATAATCTAAATCGATCGCAAAAGGATCGTATTTCGAAGAAAAAGTTTCCTTCGAAATTTGTTGTGTGTGGGGCATAGATATAATTAGTACACTTATTACGATAATAGTTCCATCAAATTACTTAGTCTCCATTTAAGAGCTTCCAACGTGATCAGGATATACAAGAATTAATTCAGATTATCTTCCAATACAGTTGAGACGTGTGAGTGCGTTAGATATAGACTGAAGATCTCGTTGAGCAATATTTTCAATACAAGCCATCAAGTGCCAACGCAGCATGGTTGACTCAAACTCATTACTACCAGATGTCGAGAAGCTTATCACCGATCCCGAAGTTCTCAGGGTCTTGCGACTTTTCATCTCGCTAGGGCGAACCGACATAATCAAATTCCTAAACGAGACAGTCAATCAAAATCCCAAGGCGGTCCAAATCACATTAGATACTGTCTACTTTTTTGTGAAACGAGGATTGCGAACTCAACGCTATCTTACGTCCCAAATGCGTACCGATGTAGAACCCTCTGATTGGCCATACGACCCTGACGAAGAAAATTCTTTCACGTCTGCTGAAAGGCAGCTTCTAGATAAATATAAGTTTGGGGCGCGATGGCCCACAGTGCGTGGAGCAATCGATATATTTCGCCGCGGGCTCATGCACTGCGTCGATAAAATGACTTGGAAAGATAGCGACACTGGGTTGACATATCGCGCCTGGAATACTGTCAACATATGCCCTCCCGATAGACGCCTATGGGACCGAGAAAGCACAGCGTATAAAAGTCAGAGGTTCTGTGCATATTCACGACTGCAGTTTGTGATCTTCTACCCAGGACTAGTCAACCTCGCATTCCTAGAGCAAGGGCAAGCCGATGTGCTGGCGCGGGCCGAGGGACACTTCGACAGACTGTGGGCGCGCGACGAGAAATTTCGCAAGACGACTGTAAATTTAACGCGTAGTGTTCTGAAGTACTACGGTAGCGTTGACGACGGCTACACCAACTACGAGGGACTTTTGCCCAAAGAAAAGCTGGCGAAAGAACGGAGAATCATTCTTGAAGATTTTGACGCTCAGCGTAAAGCGATGCTAAAGGCTAACGCGAGCGATTTTCGCGAGTTCTCTCATGCGGGCTGGTGGTTGAAGTACGGGAGGTTCTGGAGCCCTGGGAACTCGGTTGGCAGCATTCTACATTCAAATAAGATGCTCGTGGGGAAGAACTTCAGAGATCATTGCAATTTGGCTAATGACTCCAAAGAGATCAGTACCGAAGTGGCCACGCGTGCAGTCAGACACTATGGTTTTGGATACGTGCCCACTATGATGACTAGAAGCAGCAGATCCAGATCCTCGTCAAAAGCTTCACTAGGGAAGACAGGAACAGAGAAAGGAAAAGGAGAGAAAAGAGAGAAAAGCCGAGATAAGTATCGAGAAGAACAGAATCAAAGCCTACCGATTCGAACTAGTCGTGATCATGGAAGTTCACTAAGAAGAACAGAGAGTCCTGGACAACAACGACAAGAGAGTAAAAGCAAGACAATAGAAGCAAGAACGCCAGCGAAGAAATCAAGTAGAGGAACTAAGAAACCAGCTGCTCAAGTTGATAATGCTGCTGTTCCATCTTCGTCACGCACTGGCGGGTCGGGCCATTCCGGCACCTAGGATAGGAAAATGGCGATGAGGTCATGTATTTTTACTAAAGTGAGTGGAAAAGTGTAATTTAGACATGATACTGTATCTTTAGTAGCGATATGATACATAAATAATGATGTAATTTCAATGGCTGGAGACTAGAGACTAGAGACTAGCATGTAGTGGCCAAAAGGGCGAAAAGATGACAAAGATTAGAAAGGTTACGTCTACTTTAATTCCTAGCTTGACAAAACAGGTGAGAATTCCAAGTGTTTGAATATTATTGTTCGAAAATGTTGAATGTTGAATTATACTTGAGTACCTGTCCTATTGGCATCGATGTAGTTTTAAATCGTCTGAACTTTTTCAGACATCAAATGTCTGAGCTGCCATGTAATTTCCAGGTATAAAATTTCGTTTATGAGCATGTCTGCCACATACGACCATAGACTGAAGAGAATTGGGCATCCCGTCCGCTCTGCCATACACAAGCTTCAGATCGGTAGATTAGTAGTTGGGTGGGTGACCACCAGCGAATTCCCCCTGTTGTATGTTGCTTTTTGTTTTGCTGTAGAGGGAGGTGGGTGACGACGACGAGGACGTCAATGGTGGGAACTCCGGGAGATTGTCAAAAACTCCCTATTTTGGGCCATACGTTATGAAAAGTAGCTAGAGAAATGAGCTGAAAATTGAGATTGAGGGGTGTGTCAATACATTTTGGAATCATTGCTGTTGTTGAGAGTGGCCTCCGGTCAGCAGTAAGATCTTCCCTGTGAGAGATCAAGTTACAGATCATGAAAGCCTGATAGGGTCGAAGCTGGTAGGTATCTTAGTATTGCTGTCCTTCGCTTAATTGATGTTACGCTCGGCTATTGCTTTATTCCTGCTATGACTAAGGTATTCATTTCATGATACCATTTTCACCGCTAGCAGTCTGTGCTGTCATTATAAAACTCACCACATACATACATAATCGTCTCAATTAGAGATAATCACTTGGTTCATGCTATATGCAAATGATACCGCAATTTCTCACGCTCTTCCCGCTGTTGGTTCTTAGTTTTGTCAAAATATTTTCCCACATTATTCCACCTGTTCTATATCTCGCTGATGTCGATAGTCGATCACGAGTAAATTGATTGTGTGATGGAGTTTTATGAGTTTATCTGCAGTTTTTCTCTTTGGGAAAGGGTGGGGGACCTGGAGAAGGAGAGCAGGTTCAAGTTCTGGGGTTTGGATGAGTCACTTCTAGGTGATCTAGGAGGTTATTGTAAGCTGGTTATATATAAACATCTCAAACGGATATGATATCAATAATGTTTTATTATACAATCTGAAGATGAGATTCCAGGAAGTTTTCGCATCCTTCCTTGTGCAACATGCGATAGCATCGAGGGTGTGGAAGTTGGTAATTAATTTTACTGCTGGGAGGTATCAGCTGAGATTCCATCGATGTTTCGGGGCGTAAATTTTTGTTATCGTTGTCCGGGCGAGTTTGGTTATTTTCCCAGAAATCTTATTGTCATTATCATTGTCGTCTCATGGCAAGATCAGATGATATAGAGATCCTGAACCACATTGTGTTGACTCAGCAGATTTTACAGTCCGTCAGTAAGCTATCTGTATGAATATCACAACGTGAATTTATGCCCAACTTTACCTCGCTGAAAGCTACATGCATTTTTATTTGGCTATGAGCATATATTTATAATTACTAGCGAAAGAGATGATTCAATACTATTCTTCGAGGCCTTACAATACAGAAAATCTGTTACTATTATTAATGGATGAAAGTCGTTGCTTTTTCTTCACCATCTAATCTTCATCTGATCGACCCTTCCCGCACCTCACACGCGAACTCTAATTCGGGTTAGTACCTCAAAAGCTTAATTATTTGCTGTTGATGACAGTATTTAGAGCCCGCGCTCTACCAGCTTAGCGTCTTCATTGTAAGTGGTGGAACGGATTTAGAAATACAAGGGCATACTTTAAATACACCCCCTTTCAAATTCCTTGCCGTTCTCCGATGCACTTATGGCGATTTCGTAAGAAACTATTCTTGGAACAGGCCGGCAGACCAAACAAGATCACAGAGTGGAGAAGGGTTCTCCACATCTGACTGTTTGAGCCCCGACTGGAGCCAAAAAATTGTTGGGAGTTTTTGGAAACAAACATGAAATTGACACCGTTGTAATATCTCTGGTCATATAAATAAATTAAAGGTGTTTTCTATTTACACTAGAAGATTTGATTATGTTTTACCATGTCCGGTTGCGAATTCTTGCGACCGTTAGAATTCTTTGCTATCACTGAATATTGAATCCAATTTGTCAATAGTTCCCAACGCCATGACCCGCGATTCTAATACATTTGCATTATATTTCAAACCCAACAATCCTCCTCGGCCATTCCAAAATCTCGTGATAATCGTGTCCAACTTCCCTCCAAATAACCCCAAAAAGCCCCTTACTCCAACCCTTAAGCCACCATACCTGTGGAACCTTTCCGATAATCACACAAGAAAATGCCACAATCACCAGAGCAAGAGCATCTCTAGCCCTGATCAATTTCAAGAATTCTTCTTGCAACCCGCATCCGCATTCGCCGGATAGATGCGGATTGTCATTTTGTCCTTCTTCTGTCTTCTTGAAAACGGATTTTAGAGAAGTGATTGCTGTTGTACAGAGTGTTTCGTTTTGCCCTTGGCTCAAAGCATATAGTCGATCAAAAGTAGCTTCTGCATCCGGTGACAGAGTGACCTGATCTCTTTGGAGGGAGGGGGACTCTAGTCCCCGTCTCACATGCATAACGGTTTGCCAACCTTTAGATAAAGAAATAGCTTGAACCATGTCGTCAATCAATCCCACTGAAGCCTCTTTCTTTGCGTCGGGCCTGGCGAGACCAAAAGCAAACATAGCAGTAATACTCGAGAAAGCAATACTGGCAACATCATTCCCTTTGTCCATATTTGAGAGGATGGAGTGGTAAAGAGTAAGCCCTCGGGTGTGATGTGCCGTGGCGATCTCGATATATTTCTGAGGGTCTGAATGGGATTCTGCGTAGTGAAGAGCTGATAGGGCAAGGAGTCCATGGAGAAGAAAATGATGTTCCATTGCTTGATTCAAGATGAGAGTTTGTGATTTTTTTTAAGGCATCGAGATTATTGGTTGGATTTACTGTGTACACGGTTTTCGTGAACCAGTGGATTATCAGATCTATGTTTTCGAGATTGAGTGACGGAGTTTTCGTGTCCGAAGCCAGAACTTCCTCACTTTGAGGAGTCGAGCTGTAAGCTGGAGGTGAAGGGCCACTGTCGTTTGATCCTTTACTGTTTGTTTCTGACGTAGATGGGTCATCAACCCAGACAAGAGATTGCACTCGTGGGTAATTACATGTGATATCACGTGAGACACATCTCTGGCAGCGGGGCTTTTCCTCGTCACACTTCGAGGAGAAGCAAAATAATGTTAGCGATTGACGTAGAGTGGATAAAATCGACATGCTTGAGTTTGTGTTCAAATTTCAGAGGTAAATAAAAAAAAGGGGAGAATAGGTGGTTAATGAATATATAAACATACCTTGATTCGCCTCCTTTTGCAACCAAGACATCCATTGCGCGACTTCTTGTGAGGTCTTCGGATCATCGGACCTGATTGAATTGTGCAGTCGTACCTCAGACTTGAGAAAGGTGTATACGCGACTAGGTCTCGGTCACAGGTAATCCAACCAATAAGATATGCCTCGAGAAGTCGTCGCTGCCTTTCGTTTATCAAGTACTATTTGGGTCTTGAATACGATCAATGGAAAATTTGAAATGTCGAAGCTAATGCGGCTTTCTTCCTTACTCTTCCAGTTTGTTTGATAAGCTCGTGTCGAATCTTGGAGCGGGACATACGTATATATGGCTGCTTTCGGAAATGTCATACGAAAAATAAGGTTCCAGCTTGTCGCCCCCACATCTGGCGTTTTGCAAAAATATCTTGGCCAGTAGGCGAGTTTGGCGTTTATTAGGATCTGTGCATCTCGGAGCGTACTCGTACACGACTTCCCAATATGGATTAGTTGTTACTGACTTGGTCGATTCCGGTTAGACAACTTGAATCAATTCCAGAGAATTTCTTATTTCTATTTTCGAGAAGAGGGTGGCCGAGCAGGCAATGTCTGTCTGTATGTTGTGTGTTTGGAGTAGCTTCGAAATTTCTCACCTCCGACTTCTGTTTAGTGGCAGTTGTCATAACATTTCACTTTGAATCGTCTCAATTTGGTCCACCCCTTGCATGATGAGGTACCCTACAAACCGTCTATCTGTCGTTGCAAACTGCCGATAAGCCAAGAACAACAAAAGGTCCTAAAATAGAAGCCGATCAGGTCTCCGTGCTGTTCATCATTTAAGGAAATCGTTCTTGCAAGTCATGACCCCTGACTGGCTATCTGGCACTTCATATTGGTAGGGCTAGAGTATTCGGTCTAGATGTCAGGGTGCAAGTGGATCACCAACTCTCGTACTGCGTATAAGCTGACCACATTGGTAAGTGAGGGCCGTCACCAATGCAAGTTGATATTTAATAGCAAGATACTTATCTCTGCTCCATCACCTTATAATTTTTTATTCTTTCTAACCTCCACCTTGTTTACCATTTCCCCAATTTCATATATCTTATGTCATTATCACCATATATACTGCCTTCTATCTATTAATTCTGGTCTATTTTCAACAAAGGGAAATTAAACAATAACACATCATGGATATTACACTCATCCAGTCTCCAGAGGGGAATATCACTGGAGGCGTATATTTCACTTACAACCCATCAGAACCCGCTGCCTACGGGTTCACGGCTCTTTTTGCATTACTCACTTTGGCACATATAATCTACATGTTTCCATTGCGGTCATGGTATTTTATAAGTTTTATCCTAGGTGGAATATGTAAGTATTGGACTCTAGAGACACAGACAATTCGAGTGTCTTTACACACCGCTAGGTATTCCTATTCAATAAGCTAATAGCCACAGGTGAAACGTTTGGGTACTATGGACGGAGTGAATGCCATGACAACATCAATGATCTTGGTCCTTGGATCCTGCAAATGATCCTCATTCTCGGCGCGCCTACCTTTCTTGCAGCTTCGGTCTATATGACACTCGCGCGACTTACCATAGCCTTAGGAGCAGAAGAACATTCAATGATTAGTCCACGATGGTTGACCAAGATTTACGTTCTGATCGACGTACTTTGTTTTTTAGTCAATTTCTGGGAGCAGGAGTTCAAGCTTCTGGTGACGCAACAGTCATAGCCGTTGGAAACAAAGTCATTCTCGGCGGTCTCGTATTCCAAATCATAGCATTTTTCTTCTTCCTTCACATGGCCTGGCGTATCGGTTCCCGTTTCGAGAAAATCCAAGAAACTCATCCGAGTAGCCTTCGTTATCCGGAACTCGAGAGGGGATGGAAGAAGTACTTTCGAGCTTTATACGCAGTTAGCGTACTACTCATTATTCGAAACTTGATGCGTGCGGTTGAGTATGGACAGCAGGCAAGCGGTGGAGGATTTTCATATGCTACGAGAAATGATGATGGAACTCTCACCTATGTCGGACATCGTTCCAAGAAAATTGGAGATATAGAAGCGTTACTCTATGTGTTTGATGCTGTGCCAATGTTCTTGGTGGTTTTGATATTCCTGATTATTCATCCGGGGAAATTCATCAAGAGGGCTCGTGTTGTCAAGGGGGAAAGATTATCAGTCACTGAGATGGAGGCTTTGACGAAATAATAGCGATTACTGCTAGAGAAAAATGAGCATATGGTCTCACAACAGTCACTCTACGGGATGGGGTATGCAATGGTTCAATTTTTTTTTGTTATTTCATTTGTACATAGACTACTTTCATTTGTACCTATCGCATTTCCTCGCCTAACCTCCTTCTTTCGTACTATTCATCGTGTTCAATCTTGATCCACTGCTACGATTTGAAAAGGTGTGTGAACACATGAATACAGTATATCAAGCCAATTTCGCAGATATATGTCAATAAGTACGACTTCTACAATTTCTCGATGGAGAGTAAATTTTTGCGTAGGAGGATTCTATGTTTGAGATATGAAGAATGTCCCTCCATACGGGGAAGAGTTTCGAATCCCAAACCCGCAATTCAAGAATTGAACTGCTTCGATGCTGTGGGGCAGAAGGTACTCCGATCGCTTCGCACAAAATATCCCTAAGACTATTGCAGTGCAAGCGAGATTTCAGATGGATTCATCAGTATGACTCTCCAAACAACATTCTATCACGCAAGGGGCTCATCCACTCAGTTCCTCTACTTGATGTTCTTGTTAACAATGCTTTGCATCTCCTTAACCTGATCACTCCCGGTTCCCTTATCCGGGGCTGGGACTACATTCTTGACCGTGATCAAATTTTGTTCTTCTCTCCTAGTAACGGTATATTTACCACCAGACCATGTTTGGATATTGGCAATGATCTTGTCCCCAACTGAGTCGGGGATTCTTCCGGCACTCTTGGATGTGTAAGTTGCAACTGTGCCGTTTTCGTACTTGGCGCTGTAGTTTAGACGCATGGCTAAAGACTTGGTTGCAAAGAGTATGAAGGCGAGGAAGAAGAGCTTGAAGATGAACGATTCTGGAAGGTAGGCTGATGGACGATGGATTACGAAGAGTGGTTGGTTTGATAGTTGTTTTGAAGATTTATCGAAGTGATTGGTATGTTGTCAATGAGCTTCAGTAATGTGCTTTGGTTCAATGATGTTCCTGTGAAAGATTAGAAGAATCTTTTTGCGGTGGGAGGTGAGAGACACTTATATCTTCATCTAGGTGCTGTGTATACGCACACATCATGTACGGTGTGTATTGATTCATAAGATCGCGCTGTTTACGCCAGTCTATGAAACCAAAAAAGGTAAAGAAAGTTGTATCGAAGGGGATCTTCTGACATACAATTCGGAGCGTAACTAGGCCACGGTTATGCTATAAACATTTTACGGTGAATTCTGGCGAAGAAGTTCATCTTAAGATGAGATAGCTATTGCCCGTATTTTGCATGAATATACCGTAGACTATACCCTCCGTCGTAGTTCGAATGAGGGTGCAACTACGGTCATTCCAGGATTCGTTTTGTACGGTACCAATTCAGATCATAGGGCAATCCCCAATAATGAGGTATTTCCCACTGAACTTGCAATATAAGTTATTGTGGAGAGAATGCTGGATGATATCGTCACACTGTGGGAGTAGAGGATGAAGTCCAACACCCCTCCTCAAACGAGATTCTCACGTCACAGCTTGCTCGATAAAATTTTCATCGCAAACCTCTCGTCTAAACAACGAACATAAGAAGTCCAGATTATTCCATTCCTTCAAATCCCTCGACTTAGGATGGCTTAAAGCTTAGCAAGGGAACGTTCTAACAAATTGGAATACGGAAATTATTTGCACTTATTACTACCTTTCAATTTTACTGAGAATTGGTAGAAATATCTGCTTGGATGAAATGTGTTTGACTCTAGACAACGATACCATCTGAAATTACAACAATTGAAATTTATACAGAGGTTTCTCAGAATTCGCGAATAAATTAATGCATCTTGCAGTACTTTGATATCTCCGTCTTTGCAGCGTTTGTCAGCGCCTTTTTTCCTGACTTCATGCGTAAAATATGGCTGCTAATCTGTTGCTTCTCTTCACTAGGCTTGAACCTGTATTCGCTTGACTAAAGATGACCTCGAATTTTTGAATTTATGAAATATGACATGGATATAACAGGTAAGTGCCAAACCCTAATCGGAAACATCCTCTCTTTTCGAGTACGTATTTAGTGAATTTCTGATTAGGTCTACAATCCTTCTCATTTGACTGTGATTCTTGTTCGTCAGTGGCACAAGCATTCCAAATTTGCTTTATTTGGTACTGGCGGAGGCCCTATAAATATAGTATATTAATAAACGGGAGGGGAAGCCAATTTTCTTCCTTCTTTAGAGGTTTCGGTTGCTGCAATGCCATGTAAAGTAATCTCACCAAAGGCAGGTTGTATTCAAAGCAGTCAGAGCCGTCGCACATAAAGCTAGAGCCTAGTTAGGGTTAGCGTTGTTTTCTTTACCCCACCACGGCGTCTTAAGAAGGTTCAAGTTAAACATCGTTCAAGTTCTTCACTAAATCAACACAAGATCATTCTGAGGACTAGCTCCTGATTCTCAATCTACGATATCTATTGTGATCTCACACTTCAATAGACACTCTTTACAGGAATAGTATAAGGGAGCTGTCCACCTACCACAATCGCGCCACAATAAACAGCAAACAGAGCCTCGAAACTGGACCAAACGCAATCGCAGAAATTCAACAGCGTCTAAGATATTCGAGATTCAGCAGGACTTTGTATCTCTTCCATTAATTTCACAGAGACTCTCAAGAACTTTCACGTCACTTACGTCGGCGCCCCTCATAAAATCACGATACCTAACAATCATGATATCAACAACAACCACTCCTTCCACGTTTCCCCTCTTCTCCAGCCTCGCTCTTGAATTACGCACTCAAATATGGCAAGAATCTCTTCCATGGGAATTCCCTCCAGCACTGTACTTCTACAAAAAAGGATGTTGGCAAGCCCGAATCTTCACCGAATCTGATCCAGGTTACTGCAACGAAGTCAGTGAACAATTCAGCACCGAAGATCTGAACAGAAACTTGGAATTTCGCTACGATCTTCTTGATAATTTCCACGTTCAGACACCTCTCTTATTTGTGAACCATGAGGCTCGAAAAATCACCCTCACTTGGGCACGCAGTCATGGTATCGAAATATGCGGAGATCCACTTTTCCCACGCTTGTCTCTTCCTTTCAACCCCGCTAGGGATATACTTTATTTGCCTGCTGTTGAAGGGTACAAATTTTTCACGGAACCTTATAACCGATCTTCTGAGGAAGACATGATTAATCCAACTCATGGAGTATTCAATGAAGTTAAGCGTTTGGCTGTGCCAGAATCGGGGCTTGGAGCTTACTTCGTCATGGCCGGGTTCGGCGGATTTTCCAAGTATTATAATATTGAAGCACTATATGTCATTATCAATACGCCACTGGGCTTACGTTCTATTGATGATGATTTGCATGTGCAGTCGCGATGGGAGTGAGAGCTTGCCATTATGTACTTTTCTCTTAGACAGCAAAAGATCGGTCTTTGAACTGAAAGAGAACGGATATAATGAGGATGAACAGATACACCTTTTGACTCAGGAAATTAGTCGACATTTGACACCTGAATTTATCACCAGCTCGCCTGCCATTCGTGAGATCCGACCTGTTTTGGCTGTCAAGGGTTAATAGAGGGTTCATGCGATGTAATATAGTTCCACATACCACAAACCTAGAGTATCAAAATTTTATACAAGACCTTTCAAAGTACACTTTTATATGTATATTTGACTTTCCATCTTTGTGGCAGAAAACTGCAGTGTTTATGAGATCTTTGAAGCTATGATCTGATGTTAGGAGCTGTTGTTACATTTTCATTCTCAAAACTTCCACATTTCTAAAACACTGGATGCAATGATACCAAACTACATGATATCATCCTGTGTACTCACTTGAATGAACGGCGTGGCTCAAATGATAGTCCATTTCCTTGCACAAAGCACAAGTCTATATCATAAATTCCTGACAATACCTACCGAGGGAGTTCACCTTTACTTCGGTAGGTAGCGAGAGGGCACTAGCAAGGCTACGATCTAGCCTTCCTCATAATAATATTTACGACATCGACAAATAAATCTCCCTCCGCTTTCATCTGCAACTTATTTGGGAAACCACCATCCTCTTCTCAACCACTTGTAATCAATTACCTGCCTCCACACAACGCCACCCATCTTCAGCCATCTTCTCGATTTAACTCACAGAAAGCCACTTTCTCTCTCGAATAATCACTATTATCGCAATGGTACGATCTCAAGCCGCCGATGCTTCCACGGCGGAAGCTCGCGCCCAATCCACCAAAGCACGAGCAACAACCAAAGGCGACAAAAACAAAGAATGGGAGGTCAAAGAAATTCTCGAAGTCAAGAAGAAGTGGAAGAGTCTATACGTTCGAGCGTCTTGGGTTGGCTATCGCGAAGAAGATCCAGAATGGTATCCCATCTCCGACTTCAAAACCTCGCCATACTTGTTGAAGGAGTTCTATCGGGAGAATCCTAAAGCCCTTGGTCCGCCCGCACAATTACCTGCTTGGGAAGAGGCCTTTGAGGCGGGAGAGGAAGACTATGAGCACTTGAATAGTAATAAGCCTATGAATCCGGTTTCAAAGTCCAGGTACCTTAAACAAATGTTTGAGTAATTAAGTGAGTAAAATGATGGCTTTCTTTGAGATTACTACGAAGCCAAATATTAACTCAAATGGTAGGGGATCGAATCAAAGTATACATGTGCTTGGCGAATGAAGAAATCTTGATGTCAAATATCCTTTCTCCAAATTGTTCTACGACTGTTGTGCGCTTGCTGGATAGCTTCCGTGTCGTGATTCTATGATCTGGGGACTTTGAGACGAAGAGCCATGAGAATACATTTACTGCGCATCCTATATAATTTTGTATGGGGAGGAAGAACATGAAGAGCCTCTATGGTCGGAGCTGGCAGAACATAAGTCTCAATAAATCTGGAGGATATTGTCAAATATATTAGTGTTGCTAGATGTTGCCACATCAAAGTTGTCATATCAAAGTTTCCAATCAAGTAGATAAAATTTACACAATATTGCAAATTTCTCATCTAGAACAAAAATTATAACTGAATGTGAAAATATGCAATAATGAGGAGACTACCTAGATAATGTTCGCTGCGTAATTTCCTCTACAAATTTCAACTAGTCCTGTTGGAGACGAAGTTTAATAGCCACGTCTAACCCTACATGAACGAGATAACTCACGTCAGATCCAGTATTTCTACGACTAGGCTCCATGATATACCTCACATCCAATTCAATCCAGAACAAGTTTATATAACTTAGGGTTCTCGATGCTATCAGTATAAGGTTTCTCATTAGCGTACGACTATTTCATCCGTTGCGGAACACCAAACTAGTCTCTCACAGAAGATGCCAATCAGAGCCCCCCAAAGGTTTGTGATGCACATCTTTGGAATTGAATTACAAGCTCTATCCTGGTAAGTATGGAAAAGCCCTCATTAGTCGATACTACTATGGAGTTGGTTTAGTGTCTTGCGGGTAGTATTCTAGGAGCGAATGTCGATAAGGGATTGTTAAAGGTTATGTTGCACATCTCTAGTTTGTTTGACAAGATTCATCCTGGTAAGTATGAAATGCACAATTCATGCGACTAGATGCTAGATGAATCAAATTTGGTCTTTCTCCTGATACTAGACTGCTCCCAACAAATGCCAATTAGAGCCCCTCATTAGGTTATGCTGTACATCTCTAGTTGTTGTATTACATAATTGATCCTAGCAAGTGTTAATTGCCTCTCATCAGTACATATAACGGGATACGGTTGATTACCGATCGAGGGTCTTTCAAACTTACGATAGTACAGCTAGGTAATTTCGCATCTTGATTAAACGCCCAATTAAAACAAAGCTTACTAGGTAATCATCTTCAAACTACAGCCAATTAGTTCTTACCCCGCTATCCTCTACGGCCTAAACAGTACGGTCTTTGGAAATCACGAAGTAATGATTTATTAGTGTTCTTCAAGAATAAGCGAGTACTCAGGAAGTTAGATACAGGACAAGTAGAATAAAAAAGAACTTCTTGCTCATCCCCAAGTTTTTTTTACAAAAACCATTCAATACCTTCTCACCATCTCTCTCCACCATTAAAAATCTTCAACAATAAGGGATCGCAACAGAAATCATTTCCTCTCAGACAAATTCTTCCCTCTACTACCATCACGTCACCTTTTACAAATTACTTCATCAAAATGAAAATCATTCTGTACATCGTCGCAGCAGTATTAGCTTTTGACGCCATCAATGCTATACTCTCTTTCTCAGGAACAGTCTTAGGTGGCTTTTTCGAAATGAAAGAAAAGGAATTACAGCATGCTATGAATCTCAAGAAAGAGGAGTCGGAACAAGCCCTCAGCTTAGCGAAGTACAATTTTCAGGGAATCTGTGCGGAAAGGTAAGATATTGGATTCTTGATGAATATCGATGACAAACTCCTAGAGATTTACGTGCTAACCGTTATTAGAGATTCTATAAAGATGAGCTTGAGGAGATGAAACTCAGCAATCGGGAACTTCTAAATGCTCTCCTCAAGATCCCTTTGGAAAGAGGCTTAGGAGAGGATGAACTCGATGTTGGTGGGGCGGATGAGGGTTCTGAAGTTTTATGAGGCCTTTAAGAACCTTTATCTTATGGGTTGGGGACATTCATCGACAATGACAAGAATGTTTTACTGTCAGGGGTGCACACGTACGTAGTACGTATCTGGGATTAAAGCTAGGGAGGGATCAATCCAGATTCCTTTCGTAGCTTAACTCTTCTCTCTTCATAGTTTACAATATCAATTGAAACTATTCAATCTCTACAGGTCTTCGATGCATTCACTCCGTGACATTTATAGTGTACAATATCTGATTTAATACATCTACTAGCTAGTTGACTCGATGTAAAAGTCTCTAATAGCTCAAGATATGATATAATCCACGAGAAATGACTATTTCAATGTGATTAATAGCACAAATGATCAAGCGGATAAAATTTCAAATATCAAGTGAAAGGCAGTAGATAGTTTTGATCAAACTTAGTAAGCTTTTATCTTAAGAAGTTCTAAAGATTTTTCTTTTTTCTAGTATCAAGTAGTAAGGTTAGAAAGAAGAAAATTCCTGAACAGTTCTATTTTTCACAAGGGGAGAAGGGAGAGAAGGAAAAAAGAAAAAAGTGACGATGTAGCAGAAGGAAGAGAATCAAAAAGAGTAGTCAGAAGAAGAAAAGGTTAAAAGAGCGTTATTTTGACTTTCGATTTTATAGCTACTATCAATACAGTTAACCAATCTTATTTATATACATTATTAAGTAAATAAATAATCTAAAACGAAAATTAATTATTAGGTTACGGCGACATGACGATACTATAAGAATTCAATAGAGATCTACAATATCTTATTAAGAATTATCCAAAAACATATCTAAATTATTCACTATAGTATTTTATCCCTAAAGCCACGTTGCTAGAATGCTAATAAGAACCGTATAGTATCAATCAAGCGAGCTTTCCAACTACTTTATAGCCATCACTCTTTATGATTCCAAACCAAAATTATCTTCGCCATAACAACTTTCTATCATCCATCTACGATTTCATTTTCTCTTCCTGATTTCAATTCCCTCGAATAACACATCACCACAACATCATCACCACCGCAACATCATCACCATCACCACCATCTACCCACCATGTCCTTCGGCCAAGAACTAGGCAAACTCATGGAAAATTGGTACTTCATTAATATCATCCATAGAATGCTCGCAATATTCGCGGATAACGGCGAAAAGACGAACCTCCGAGCAGAACTTGAAGAGGCACAGACAAAAATCCTCAAGTTGAAGGAGAAAAACTTGGCGCTTAAAAATCGATTGGCACAGTAAGTTTTGTATTTATTAACATCTGCGATTGTGATGAAGAAGTCGAACTAACGAGTAAATAGACTTGAGACTAGAGTTGCGGCTCAATTTCTCTAGGGTCGTTTTGGGGAGAATCTTTTACCATGATATCAGACTGTTTTCGACTTTCTGTTTCAAGATTCGACGCTGCGGATTGACGGTTTAAGATTTGTAGGGGGAAAGATGTCGACTTTGGTAGTGATTAGGAAGTTTGAGTGGTCGTCCAGCAGTCAGTATCTAAATATCGAACACCGGATAGAGGACTTCATATCGACTGTTTTTGAGGGTTCAGGAATGACTTTGTATTTTGGGAATTTCAGGGCATTCCGGAAGGGGTTACCTGTGGCATAGCTTTAGGTGTTCACAATCGTACTGTTCTTGTGAGAAATAAGAGTCTATTTAAACACCTCTCGAAAAGGTTTCATACGTTTATTGTCCATCTTATATTTAGCAAATTCTAGTATGTCAGATGAACTGAAGTGAATTAACTATATTTTAGTAGTATTTAGGCATATACTATATTTTTAAAACAGAAGTAGAACTAACCATCTATAGATCTCATGCCGTAATTATCTTTTTCTTCGAGGTTTATGTTGTGAGGAGGTATAATAGAGGTAGTCTTTTTTACACTATCGTAAGTACGACTGTACGAGTGAATTAGGAAAATTAGAAGATGGGAAGAGTATCTATGAGAATTGTGGGTATGAAAA